TTAAATTGAATTCTTAGATAAAAATATTCATTCTAACTTGATTAGTCTAGATAATTTTGAAAAATCTTAGATATTCATTTAATAATGAAGAAAAAATAAATCCTTACTTCTCTGAAAATTTTAATAAAGGGCATAAAATTTTAAACTATATTCTTATTGTAAAATTTTGTATTTTAAGTAGATTGAATATGTCCATAGAACATATTGTTTCGGTAAAAAAAGTTGTAGTAGAGAATTTATTAGTTTATATAAATACTAAATACATAATCATAACTAAAATAATAAATTAAAATAATATAAAAAAATTAAAAGATTAAAAATTAAGTTCGTAAAATCATGATCCGCTTTTTAAGTAAAGTATTCCCGATTATATATACTTTTCTTTCCTATTCATTTGCATTGTCTTTACTCAAATAATCTAATAAATCGTTTCGTTTTTCTGTTAAACAGTCGATTTGAATATTAATTTTTTGAATATTACTTCTTTTTTCTCTAATTTAATTCCAAGTAATTTTCATATTACAACACTTATTACTATACAGTTTTTATTATCATATTCATTAAGTAATAAACTGCAAATGTTAATAAAAAGCAGAAAATATTTAATTATATTCTTATCATTATAAAAAGTATTTATTCTAACCTGATTTTTGTAAATAAATATTCATTAAGCAATAATCAAAACAGTATAACCATAATTTACTTGCTCTAAAGATGTTTTTTATTCTTCAAGTAAAACATATAAGTAAATAATAATTTGGGATATAATAAAAATGTATTTAAATATTATAAATATATATCATAATTAAAATATACCTGAAATTTATGAAATTACCATATGTGTCTTTGGTAATTAAGTCCATACACAAATGGCCACCAGTCATTTCAATTTTTGCCACTTCAAATCATTAATCGGCAGTCTATACTATTAATATCATTGATTTGCCTACGATACATATATAATGGCAAAATAACAGAAAGGCTTTTCGGACTTAGAAAAGTTACAAACTCTTCTGAATAAGGATTTTTGATATCTTTAGTGAATGCTTTTTAAAACATGGAATTCAAATGAGAAATATAATTGGAGAATCATTTGATAGTGCTGCAAATATGAGGGATGAATTTGATAGGTTGCAATCTTTTATTAGAGAAGAGGCACTTAGTTTGTATATTTGGTGTTACACTCACATATTAATCTCTGTATATGTGATACATGCGATAATATTAAAGGTAAAAATTTATATGGATTATTGAACAGACTAGCAACTTTCTTTGGTAAATCATATAAAAGTATGAATGCTTGGTTGAAACAGAATAATTCATCTGGTCAAAATAGGTTGAGAAGGCTGTAGGTTAGACAAGGTGGTGGGCACATGAAAAGCCCTTAGATGGATATATGGTAAAGTGAGCTTGCTCCCAATAACAATAAGTGCAATTCAATTTATAATAGATAATATCAAAAAACCTCATCAGAAGCACAGTCTTTGATCGATAATTTATGTAAATTTAAGACTCTAAGTACAGCTATATATTTGGAAATCTTTAAAATAATAAGGCCCCTATCATTATATTTTCAAACTCAAAATTTAGATATTATGTCAGCATGGAAAATGATAGAAGATTCTAAGTCTTCTGTACCATCGATAACGATTACATCGATCAAAATAAAGCAATAAAATAGCTTCTAATAAATAAAACCTTTCATATTTAAAGCTCCCGGAGAATATCTGGGTATAGAATGCTCTGCGAAAAAATAAAATACGACGAGCAAAAAGAATATATAGTGATGAAGGCCAAGATGAACGTCCCCAAGGATCAATTGACTTTTATAGAGTCGTAGCATCTTGTCTTATAATTGATCAAATTATAAAAAACTTGTCGGAGCTGTTTTCTGATAAATAGAGAGATTATTTTGAATGTGCATATTTGCATCCACATTTTGATGAAATAAATAGTAAAGGTATTTCTGAAAAGACCTTGGAAAAACTGACACAATTGACAAATATATTGAGTGTTAAATTACGTAACAAATTGTGTTCATTTGCCAGCGTATTCAAAGATTTAATAGTAGAATTAAATGAAACGAACAATGATATCGTATGTACAAGTGAAGAGTCAAATGAAGAAGATGGAATATTACAATATAATAATAACTCAGATTGTGATAATAAATGTAACAAGTGTTTAATTACGTTTATGGAATTCTTAAAAGATATAATATTCACACTAGTGCATACACTAATTTATTTTTAGCATATGAATATTAACTTTGTCATTTATGCAGGTTAATTGCGAGAGAACATTTAGTAAATTAAAAATTATAAAAAATAGGCTGAGAATAGGCCAAGAAAAATTAGAAGCGTTTTTAATGATGTCAGTTGAAACTATTACCGGAGATTGAACTAGAAGATATTCTTGTTTATTTGCGCAAAGGTTCAAAGTTAATGAAAGATTTATTAACGTAAAAAGTATATATAATCTTAATTCTTTTATTTAAATCTTACTTATATCTATTTACAATATGATAGGTGCCTGATTTTATTAGAGCAATTTTATTATCTGTGCAATATTATATAATTGCAATAATTTTAGGTATAATTAATTGATTTTATATATTCAGTCAGAGTTGGTAAAGGATCGAATAAAAAGATCGCCGTTTCTGGATTCGATCCTAAATTTGTCAATTTTCCCGGATTTATGATCCTGACTTAAATTAAGGATCGTGAAAATATATTTCAACATCATATTTTATCAACTTCCATTCCACCATATTTTATATTTCAACAATTTCCTAAATTTTATCTAGAATGAAATGTAGAGTCCACAAGTTTTATTTATTTAATTATATTATATATAATATAAATAAATTATAGTTTTTAATAATATCCTCTGATATTTACAGGGAAGGCAGGAGAGGCAAGGCTGATATTATTTAAAATAAATTTTAAAATCTTTTATTTTTTTTTCTTTCTATCACTACTAAAAATTTTACAACTATATATATTATTATTTTAATACTATTTACATATATACAATTTACAATTTGTTTTAAGGTTACTTTAAGAAAATTTACAATTTACAATTTGTTTTAAGGTTACTTAAAGAAAAGTTATTTTAACGTTTTACATATACAAATACGATATCTTTTTTTAAAGGTCATTAAAATATATAAAGTTTATGCAAAATTTATATATTAACATCCTCCATTATAGATATAGAAGATAAATTAATTAATTTCTTAATATAGATTTCCTTCAATGTATGATGACAATAACATATTGGTAGCAATAATTCACCCAAAAATTGAACGAAATTGGCCTTTATTAATCTACCACAAAATCTGTTCGTAAAAGAAAAGTTAATTGCCCATTTAAAAATATGCAGGATCAACCACATGCAGATGCTTCAAAGAATGTATGGATGAAATAGATACTTTTTTGGGAAAAATTATTCACAAAATGCTCGTTCCATTAATAATTTTTTTTATTCAAATGATGATTCAATGAATATTTTTAATATTTATGTTAATTTAAAAAATTTTTTATTGAATATAACAAACCTTTGCATGAGAGCTTGTTTAGAAGCTAATCATGTGCTTAATGAAAGACTTTGATGTTGAAATGATAATAACTTAGAAAATTTTTTACTATTAAAGGCTAATTTTAATTATAAATAAATATATTCTAATTTATACTTATAATAAATTTTTATATAATTAATTTTTATATTAGTTAATTTTGCATCGATCAGTAATTTCCTTGAGAAATTTAAATAAGAAAAGGATCGTGATCGCGATTTTTTTTTAAAAAAAGGACGATCCTGGATTTCGATCCTCTTAAAATTGTGATCGGGATTCGATCTTTTTAAAAGGATCGATTAACAAGCCTGTATTGAGTATGTATTATTTTATATTATATGATTATATTCTTTTTTTTATTAAAAATGTAAATCGTTTGAACTTATTTCAAAAATAAGAAGAAAGCTTTAGAATTCAAATTCACCTAAGAATCAAGGAATTTTTATAATGTTAAACAGTATGTTATAAAATTAACTTAAAGTATTAATAACTATTTTTAAAGAGAATAATAAATTTATCTTGAACAAATTAAAAATATTTATTTCGGATATAATAATAGATATAAATCTATAGAGAAAGTAGAAAAAATTTTCTCAACTCAATTAAAAATACATGTAAATTAATAATCAATATACCAGCCAGATAATATATTTTATATAATTGATGCTATGGCTATGACATGATGAAGTTGACTTACAATAACAATATTTCATAACTGTAGACCATCAAAATATGATAAAGTAAAGATAAAACAAATACCCAAATCAATTCAACTTCAACCTAATTATAATAAAAATGATAATTTTCAATCCCAAATTAATTATTACAAAAATGATAGTTATAAATTTTTTTACCATAGTCATCAATATCATTAATCAAGAAATTCATAATAAAAGTAAAGGATAAAAAAATTATAGCAATTATTAGAATAGATTTAATAAATATTTGACGAAAATGATGAAGTATTTACTACTATCATTATAAGAAAAGAAAATAAAGATATTTATAATAGTTTATAAATATTGAAAATAATAAAATTACATTATTCAAAGAAAATAAAAATCTATATATTTAAAAAATTACATAAAACGTAATATTAATAAGAAAGTAAAAATTAATAAAACGCGACAAACATAAAAATATATAAAACGCCTATATATCATATTGATTTATCATTACATAATCTTATTCATTTATGGTTTATGTACAATTGTTTCGATATTAATTTATTTATTCCAATATTCCATTAATCATTTTATTTTATATCAATTATTCCAATTCTTATTTCAATTATTCTATTCGCGATAAATTAAAAATAATAATGATAACACCATGGTAATAATAACAACAAATAATCATAATGAATATACGAGACCAACAAGCTAATGAGATGATGATAGCCAAGCTAACGATATGACGATAACGGTAAACAAAATGATAACAAGCGATAACGATAAACAACAAAATAGATAACAAGCTTTCAATGATAACGCTCACTTCAAATGCGGCGAGGAACACTTTAAAAAAAGAAGAGTGGAATGTTATAATATCCGATACATTAATTTATTTAATAATATAAAATAATATTTAGTTAACTTAAAGAATAATTTTATACCATATGACATTTATTATAACTTATTCAAATTTTAATTTAAATGAAAAACTTATTATTCTAATTTATATTTTTTAATTTTCTGTATATATTTAAATTTTTTGTTAAAAGATAGTAAATCATAATGTAATATAAAAAATAAATTTGTTAAATAAAGAAAAGTCTTGTTTTATCAAATCCCCGTGTTACCTTCAATTTTGTGATTAATTTTTAATAAAATATAATAGAAAATATTATATTTTATAACCTTGGGGCCTCAAGTTAGAGGAGCCTTTCATTTAGTCAAAAATAGTTGCAGCAAAAATTAAATCTGTTCTCATGTCACATTCATCTACCTCACTATGCATTTGCAAAGCAATATAATAAAAAAATTCATATAACTTGCACCATTTTATGCGTCTGTTTCTTTATTATTTTAACTTTATTAAGTAACCTACGGAAAAAGGCTTTATGAGTTTTTAATTCTATCGATTGAAATGTAATTAATTACTATAAAACTTATATCTTACCCTCTCCTATGATCTGATTAAATTAATAAATTTAAAAACATAAATCAATACGTGATGATATATCAATCCATGCCAATATTTATTGCCCTAATTTCTGTAGAGTATTTAAATCGCGCCACCAGAAGGTGGGGGTGGGGTGAATACAAGGAACATTTGTTATATTTTTTAAGTTTCCAATTTAGTTTATGTTAGTTATTTGCATTAGGTCTATTTTTTCAAGCCAATTTTTTTGTTTTCAGTTAAACTGTATTTTATATTAAATAATTTTTTAAAATTTTTATTCTCAAAATATTTCCTACAAATAAATAAAATGTAATATTTTGATTGTAAAAGGAAAAAATTTGCAAAAGCGAAGAGATATTTTTGAGGGAGGGTCTTTTTTAAATGCTAAGTCATTGAGGTCAAGTACCTTGTATTAACTCAAGGAATAGGGTTCACCTATCCTAAGTATATTTGTCTATTTGCATGCTAATATTTTATTGACTTAATATTCTTTAATTCCTTTTCTAATGTATAAAATTGTAAGTTGTTTTATTATCATTAGATGCTCTAAGAAAATATTCCACCTTTTATATATGAACATCAGAATTTCCTGAATCTCCATCTCCATATATTGTTAATAATGTATTCTTTTATTGCATTTATTATGTTGCAAAAGCTATACAAAGTGAGCAGTAAATAGCTTTACTTTATTATAGATTTCTGCACTTGAAAGTCAGTTTCTGATGTATTAATTTCAAGTTTATGGGATAGATTGCGCGTTTCTTTAAAAAAGAATGTTTTTGTGTATAATTGTAGCATTTGGATGTAGATGAAATAAAAATATTGTTTTTTAGATGCTTTTGTATAAAAGAACCAAATAAGGAATTAAAATTGACTTCATAATATTTAATCTTACGAAAACTAAATTTTAAAATTAGTTTTTTTTCAAATAAAAATTTCGATTCTAACATCATAGGCCCCCATTATTATTTTACAAATATAGAGGCCCCTAGGGGCTAAATAATAAGTATGTCCATATTTCATTATAAAAAATAGAACTTTCTACTTTGACATCGAATATTTCAAATTAAACTAATGTTTCATTTCATTATCAATTTTTTAAAAATAATTATTATACTTTTTTAAATTTTTTAATAAACATTAAAATATTTTTTAAAATTCTTTACGTGGCTTTGAAAAAATTTGTATAGTAACGAAGCTAAGTCCTCTAAAGAAACGAATCACTCTTAAAACGAATTAATCATCTTATTTCCAAATCCCCTAATGATATTTTCTGAAAGAGAAAAGATTTATTTAACATTAGACAATATAACTAGTGTTGATTAATATAACTAAATCGACTGCCTTGAGTAGCAGACCAAATATACCGGCTTAGACTACAGACGCTGCGGGATTCTAAATAGCGAAAATAAAGATCATTCAAAATTGGGAATCTCGCTTATATCTCTTAGAAAATTTTAAATATATTGAAAATAAATTAATAGATGCTAGAAAGTAATTTTTAAATTGAATCTTTACATAAATATTGCCAGTAAAAAACTTAATCTAGCATCAATTAATGTTAAATTCAAATTTACACTTTAAAAAATATTCCAGGAGATATAAGCAAGATTCCCCCCTTTTTTTTGTTTTAGCCATTTTTTTATAGCTATTTAGAACAGAAACCGGTGCAACTCTGTAACTTAGAATATCCTCTTCTATAAGATAGTAAAAAAACTAAGAAAAGGAAAGTATGTTAATTTTAAAATATCCCCCATAAATGTTCATCCAACTCTTTGGTCCGCTTATTGTCGGTTTATATTTAAGAACGTTTGATTGTAGGATAAATAAATATGATTGGTAAAATGAAGAACGTGATGGTAAAATGAAGATGTGAGATAATTTGTTGAAAGCTGACTACAGACTAGGTAATAACCTGCAACCTCATAAAATAAATTAAGAAATTTTATCAATCAGAAAACTTGATAGCTTTTTCCCATTAAATTTATTGAGGCCCCTTTATTGTAAACCTTTGACCGAGTTTAATTATTTTTAAAAAAATAATTTTTAGTTTACATCTTTTTTAAAAATTAAAATGTTTTTTTTCTTAAAATTTTCATTAAATCAGGATGAAAAATTTATGTTCGATATTTGTTATATATTATCTTTTCATAAAATAATTATTAAATTATAAATGTAAAATAATAATACTATAAGGAAATTTATAATGATCATATAAAATAATCACAATGTTTTTTCTTTGGCTGGATTGCTGACTATATCTTTCCAATTTTCCAAATTTTTCGAAATATGTTGATTCCATGGCGTGTGCTTAAGCCTTTATAAAGATATTTAGGAGTTACAAATAAAAATTAGAGTACCATATTAATATTCATAAATGTTGTATCTATTCTATATTTAAAAGCAGTTTTACAAAATGAGATACATTTTTTGATTATTCGGTATCAAATAAACAATACTTTTTCAGTATAATTTTATGTGCAGATTTTATTAAATTATATTCTATTAAAATAAAAATATTTAACCCTATTTTTATATTAAATATTTGTACCCTTTTATTTCTTTACGAAAAAAACAAGAAATAACACAGTGATGACATGGTATTAATTAATTCTTTTTTCTAATTTTACTTAGATGAATAATATATATTATAGATGAAAAAGAAGTAAAAACACAAAATCAGAGATTTCAACTAATGGATTCCATTGGCTAATTTACAAGGTCTAAATCAATATAATGACTCATAATGCAAGAAAATAAATATATAAGCTATTTTAAATATAAAATAAAAACATGTCCAAAACATTATTCTGTAAAATTTTATTTATTTCAAAAATCTAACATACGATTTCATTTAAATTCTGAAATTTGGTAAAGTTTCGAATAAAAAAGATCTTGGACAAAGCCTTAAAAAAAAATAATAACAAAAAAAGATAAAATAGTTAAATTAAGTAGAAAGGATTTAATGATCCATGAAGAGATCTTGTTGATCGACAAATTTCAATTGATAATCTTGTCGCAAATAGCATCCCCCACCTTGTATACTTTTTTATTAATAGCAGAGTCAAACTCTACTTTGAAAAGTAGCGCTCTATTGCTATTGCTATTTGTCTAAAAATGTAGCGCCCTACCGCTATCGCTACCCATAAAAAAAAGTAGCTATTAGCATTTTTTAAAAGTAGCTTTGGCTACTTTTTAGGATACTATTTGTAAAAAAAATTTAGAAATAAATTTGTCTTATTTTTGGCTTATTGTAATTGAATAGTATATAATACATAAAAATCAAGATTTATAATATTTAAATATAGATAGTTTTTATTATAGAAAAATTTATGTAAAAAGATAATAATTTATGTAATAAAAATAACTTATGGTAATATTAATTTTTTATTTATTTTATTGCATTTTAATAATAAAATCCTTTCTATACTATTTCCAAGGCTAGAGCGACGATTTGAAAGTATAAGTTTTGCCTAACTAAATAATCTCTCAACACTAGCACTTGATGGCAAGGCAGTATTTAATTATATATATATTTTTTTAGTATAAGAAAAATTATCAATACTCATTTGAGTATTTTTAGATTTAAGAACGCGTCTAGAGGATTTTTTATTATATTAGTATCCTTTATTTCAAAATTAATATCAATGAAAGTCGTTTTTATAGTTGTAACTAGGACATCTTTGTTTGGTATGAGACTATTCAGCTTTACCATGAGCCTATCACGTTGATCTTTAGCATCTTCAGAATTGATATATGGCCAGTTTAGTTTAAAATTGGGATGAATCATAAATTTTATTTGCAAGTACATCTTATGTCTGGCATCCTATTATCCTTTTGAGGGTTAATACTACATATCTTCTTTTTAAAGTCTTAGGGTCTAGTCAATGGGCTGTGATTCCCAAATAAGCTCTTAAAAATATTAATATCAGATCAATTTATAAATATAAATAAGTTTTTACCTTCAGTTATGTGTCCAAATATCTGCCATGGCATATATAGAATATCTCTGACAACTTTTCTATTAGAACATCTTTCATCACTTCATAGTTAACTGCTACCTTAATCATTAGTGTCTGATGACATAAAATTGTTGTACCAGGGGATAGTTTTAATCATAATCATAAATGATGGATTATCAACCAAGGATATTGGCTCAGAGAAATATTGGCATTTATTATTAATCAATTTAGCTTGAATTGGTCTTTTTGGATGTTGTCTCCCCTGTACTAAAATTATCACGATGTTTTTCTATCTCGCATGAACTTTCTTATAAAATAAATACTACTAAAATTTAAAAATGACAATTACCTTTAAATTTTCATATTTATAGTTACATTCATTATATTTTTAAAGAGTAGCTGATGAGTGCGCTACTTAGCTACTTTAAAAAAAAGGAGCTCGCTAAAAAATTAATAATTAGAAAAAAATAGACGCTATTAGCTATGTCTACCAAAAAAGATTGCGAACTGCAGTAGCGCGATAGCACGGCTTTAACAACTTTGATAACAATTTTAATAATCAAGGTTCTAGACAATATTGGATTAATGGCATTTAAAGACTCTACCTCCTGAAAATCGACAATGATAAGGATGACTCATATATTTTATATTATCGTTATATTCACTTTTATAAATATAACATTAATATATTTTTATAAATTTATGGTGATCATGTATTCTGTTTTAAATGTCACAATAGCTCAAATCGCCGTATTTTGAGGCAACTATCTTGGGAGCCCTTTATTGCCCCCCCCCCCACCTAATATTTTTATCCTTTTTAATATTTACATTAATTTTTTCTTTTTTAAATGGCATTCTAATTTTGTAAAATTTTATTTTAATATAGATTTAAATATTACCTAATTTTAAAAAAATACTATGTTATAAATTAATAAATATAATGTTATAATACTTCTAAATATCCTTACATTATATACAATTCTATAATTATGCCACAAATTTTCCAAAGTTTATAACTAATGGTTATAAAACTTATTCAAGCTCAGTTTCAAAAGATGGGCCAAAAAATTACACATTAATAAATATGATAAATTTTAAGTGAATCCATACTATTTTTCCTTCGTGTAATATTTAAGTTATTTTAACATAAAATGATATTATATTATCAAATCACCTTCTCCCTTAATGTTTAATATTTTATTTATTATATATAGGGGAGACCGGGGTTATATTGTCCATAAAAAATTGAAGTGTTATAGAAAATAGACTAAGCAATTTTTCTAAAATGTTTAAAGTAATTATATTCTTTACATATATCTCTAGGGTAGAAATTAATATTTTTAAAAAAAATCATTTAGTTTTTAATTAATGCGAAATTTAAAAAAATGAAAATTTAAATTTCATGAAAAACACTCAGGGTAGCTATTATACTTTCACGTTACGTGTCATAGCAGGGTTGCCAGGTCTCCCCCCATCAGCGGGAGACTCCCGAAATTTTTATGCATACATCTCTCTCCCGCAAAACTACCGCAATTGGAAATCTCCCGCAAAAATCTACCGCAATTTTTTAATTTCTCTCGTAATTTTTTTTTTTAGTATTTTAACGTTTTTAAATATATAAATTATAATCTTGAGAGACATTAATTGATTATTTTTATATTTTTAAAATAAATTTTAAATATTTATTCGCAAAACATGTCTAGTTTGTAAATTTCTTTCTATCCTGTTTTATTTTTATCCAATAATACATCTTTCATTCATATAAGTCAATACAGGGGAGTATATCTACATCGATTGCAAGATAAAAATATTCTCGAAAATAATAAATAATAGATGCAACTACATTTGCGGAAATCGTATACATCTATCATGTAGTTAAACATTCACAGAGCTATATCATCACAATGTGGGTCGAATCTTTTACTCATGATATTTAACGACTCCAATATAAGTGCAAACCTTACTTGTGGGGGAACAAAAATGAGCAAGGCTATCACAAGTGTTTTAGTACCTGAATCCTAGAGGTCAATTCAAGACGATTTGAAAGATGGGCATCCATATGCAATTCTAACAGATGCATCTAATAAGGGAAATATTAAAACATTTCTCCCTTCGCTATTTCAACAAGAATAAGAACATTTCAATAAAACTGTTAAAAATTTTTCTTCGGATAATGAAAAATCCAACAATGTTGATAGCCACATAATGGTAAACATAGCTGATTCATGGTTATCAATGATTTGTATGTCAGCTTTCTGCTCTGATAATGCCTCTGTAAATTTTGGCAAAAACCAAAGTTACCGAATTAAGGCAGCATAATAATGAATTAATACCAATTGGCTGTGTATACTACATAAATCTTGCAAGAAGGTGTCGAAATAACTATGATGAAATGTTTTAACTAATTTAGTTCATCAATTAAAAGAGTTAATGAATTAAAAGAGTTGGTGAAGTGGTCCGACTTGGAATGGTGTGAGTTGTTGCGATATGTACCTATCAGATGGTTATCATTAATACCTGCCATCGAGAGAATTTTAAAATTTTACGAACCTTTAAAGAAATACTTCTTAAATAAAGATTTTAAAAGCTGTCATTAAATTTTGGAAAATTTTTTCGAGGATGAAATGTCAGAAGCATATTTAGGATTAGTTTCACATGTAGGAAATCTACTACATGTAGTTAATATTCTGCTGCAATTTGAAGATTCTTTATTGATAAAGATTCACAAAATCATGCTACAGCTCTGTTCATCTCTACAGTTAAAAATAGATAATAAATTTTATGGCGCTATTGCTAAAAATATTATATTAAAATGTTCAAATAATACTATAATTAATACATTTTTAAATGAAGCAGATATTTTTATTAAGATTTTAGAATATTTACAATCAAATTTGATTTTAATAACTCTATTTACAAATGTATAAATATTATGACTTTGGAACAGAAACCATCAATTGATGGTTTTTATAATTTAATAAATATATTAAAAATACCGAAAGACATTGATGTCTTATTTGAAGAGATTGTAATTCTCTCTATTTTTTATGATTCGCCAAAATACTTAAAGTTAAATGGTCTAAAAGCAGAGGAGAAATGGGTAAAAAAATTTCGTAATAACGATAAATCCCCATGCTTGGAAAAAATAGGCGAGTATATCTTCTCCTTACCTCATTCTAATGCCTGATCCGAGCGCATTTTTAGCCTGATGAGGACTGCCTGGATAAAGGAGAGAAATTGGATTGCTTTAACAACATTTGAGGCCGAGCTAATGGTTAAACAAATATATATAATATGTCATGCCAGGAATTTTATAAATATCTCAATAATGACGGTAAACATTTAGTCTATTATATAATCTCAAATAAAATATAATTAAGTTTTAGCAATGGCGCTATAAAATTTTATGTCAATTATTAACTGTAAAGATGAACACATCTTCAGCATAATTTTGTGAATCTTTATTAAGATTCTTCTGATTGCAACTACACATTAACAACATGTAGTAGATTTCCTACATGTAAAATCATTCCTAAATATACATCTGGAATTCATTATTGAAAAAAATTTTCAAAATATTTAATAAATATTTTTTTAAAGATTTATAAAATTTTAAAATTCTATCGATGGCGGGTATAGGAACATATCGCAACAAACATTGTGCTGACTCAATTCTGTAAATACACTCTGTTTTTACTAAATTCAATGAGGCATTATCAGATCAGAAAGCTGACATGCAATTTATTGATAATCTTTAATCTGCTATATTTACCATTATATGGTTAGCTATGTCTTTGGATTTTTCACTATTTGAGGGGAAAAAATTTAATAGTTTTATTGAAATGACCTGAATTTTGTTGAAATAGCGGAGGATCAAGGAAAATATTTTAATATTTCCCTTATTAGATGCATCTGTTAGAATTGCATATGTAGGCCCATCTTTAAAATCGTCAAAAATTGACCTCCTGGATTTAGGTCCTAAAATATTGATGATAGCCTTGCTCATTTTTATTCTACAAGTATAGTTTTCATTTATATTAGAGTCGTTAAATATTATGGGAAAAAGGTTCTACCAACATTGTGATGATAAGTTTTTCTGTGAATGTTGTACTACAAGATAAGTGATTACAATTGCCGCAATTATAGTTGCATCTGTATTATTTCTTATTTTTGAGTACCTTATTATGTATTTAAACGTGATACGTGATAATTAAGCGCCTATCCCTATAATTTTATACACACACACAGTAGATTTCCAATTGCGGTCGTTTTGTGGGACATTCGCATAAAATATATTTTTAATTGTAAAATTAAAATCGTTTTTTTTATAAAATTTTATCTTGTTTACATTCTTTTATATATTTAAATTAATAAAGATGTTATTTTATTTTGAAAAATAGTTACCGACTTTGTATTTATATAAACTAATTATAAAAAATAATAGGCGGATAATTAAGTCAATTCAAAAGGCCCGCAAAAATTTTTTTTTAGCAATTTTTATATTTCTACCGCAATTTTCATATTTCTCCCGCATAATACCAATTATCTTCCTCAATTTGAAAATTTTGACCTGGCAACCCTGGTCATAACGTTTCTTTATTTTTAGATTTTAAAAAATTTTTTATATAAAAGTGTTGATTCTAAGTAAATAAATAAAAATAAATTGTCAAATAAAATTTAATAAGGTTCATCTCGTAGCAGGAATTTTCAGTTAGGGGGGCCAGCTGCCTACTTAGGGGGACAAATATTTTTAAATAAAACAAATAATAAAGCATTCATAGTTTTTGCTATTTAAAAATTATTAATGTTATATGAATACAAAATAATACTATAATATGAACATACAAAATAATACTATAATATAATACGGCGATTTTTATTTTTTAATTTTAACATAAATGAATTAAAGGATAAATTTTGTGTTAATTTTTTTTTCTGCTTACTTTGATCTTTCATCGACTCTCTAGTGCTCGATAGAACTCTCTTTATTTTAGAGAAAGAAGCCACACAAGAAGCCGTTGGTATCCCATTGATGATGGCTGCTGAGTAGCATTTATACAATTCTCTAAATGCATGATGATATTTACATAATATTTATGATATTTTCAAAATTATGTGTTTCTTTAACTTCTGTAGCTAATAATCCTTTAGCTAATTGACAAAAAATTTCAAAAATGTTAAAAAAATAAGGTTTTTCAGCCTTTATTCTAATCAAATCAATAAATTTATTGCTTCTTATATTTTTTTTAATATATTGATCGTGGAATCATTACAATTTTTAGCATCCACTTGATAAGTACCTACTGACTGTAGAAACATATAGTGGATATATTGTTATTAATATTATAAATTATAATGGCTAATATAAAGTAATTTATATTAACGTATTGAGATAAAAGACCAGAGGTTTCTACAGAATCATGAGTGGAAACCTCTGAATTAAGAGTTCCATTAGAAAAGTAAACTAATACTTCACCAATAGCCTCAAAATTAACATAAATTATGCGAGATGTTACTAAATGACCAGTCCACCTCTGGTCTAAAAGTCTCTTAAGAGTATGGCCTGTATATTTACAGGTAACGTTAAACCGCCTAAAAAATTATGCAATGCATTGAATAAATTAAAAAAATTATAAATTATAACAATATTATACCAATTTTGAGCCACAATATGCAACATGTGGTTGTAGAAATGTATAAAAGTAACTTTTTTATGAATTTTATTTTTGAAGTAGGGTTTGCACTCCTCCATTTCGGCCAGACATAACGTTTGCACCATCATATGCCTGGTTTATCATATTCGTTGAATTAATATTTAACTCATTAAGTTGCTTTAAAATGCAATTAGTAATGCTTTCAGCAGAAAGACACTGTAAATTAATAATTCTTATTAAATTTTCTTGGACTTCTACAGAAAAAATATAAATAATATTATGCTCAGGTTTTCACAATCTAATGCATCTTTTGTCACATCAGCCTTAAGACAAAAAAAAGGCATCTCACTTTTGTTACATTTATCTGAAATAATTCAAGCACCATATCTACCGTAATAGATATTACTTTGTTTTGAATCTGGGTGATGTATATCACGCATTTTTATATATAAATTTCGTATTTTTATTTAATTCAGAATCTTTTTGGATAGTGTATGAAAACATTGCTATAAATAGTTCAGAAAGAATAAATTATGTTTTCTACATTTGCAGCATCCGTAATTTTTCTTGAACCAGTCCCACGGAAAGGTAGCTCCTGTATGTTAAGAAATATAATGAAATCTTGATTTAAGATCGTAAAAATTACGGTTAATTTGTTAGCTTACCAAAATTGGTGTTATCTCACTATTTTCTTTATAATGCTAAAATATTCACCGCTGTTTTAAATAACTGGTTATATCGGGCTTAGATAATATTATTTTGTCTAAGATCTTAATCGGACCATTTTTGAAAATTGGCCCAAATAGAGCTGTTTAGCAACACTGCACAATAATTACCAAATTTTATAAAAATTTAATAAGAACCTTTTTTATTTTAATAAATATTTACGAATCGGTATCAATCTGTTTCCTTAGATTTGATATATATATATATCAAGCTTTGAGTAACCACTTGATTAGCTTCAGAAAATCCCGGTTTTTTATGATTTGCACTCAGATCTATATCATAGACTTTCAAAAGATAATAATATTGTGATTGAACCATAATAAATAAAATAATATCATTGAAATAAGTACAATTTAAACATTATAATTAAGCGCCTATATAATGTTATACACAAACACACATGAAAATGATAAAATATGAATGAATGATAATTTATTATTGGATAAAAATAAAAGAGGATAGGAAGAAATTTACAAACAAGACATGTTTTTTTAATAAATATTTAAAATTTATTTTAAAAAATATAAAAATAATCAATTACAAATTTTTTTTTTAAATTTGAGGGGCCGGAATAATTTATGGGGGCCAAAGATTTTTTCTGGGGGCTAGGTTTGGGGTCAAAACCCGTGGCTAGGACCCTGCACATATATCACCCGAAAGTACTTGTTGTCACTTATATCTGTCATATAATTGCAAAAAATATGTTAATCATCTTCATATTGTCACTAGTAGTCCTAGACAAACTAGTGGCTTCTAATGTTTTTAAAAATTTAGTTGGATTTTTTTTATTCAAAATAATCCTTGCTTAAAAATGGCTAATACGCACCCCGCCAAAACCTACCCCAGGTCTTCACAATTAATTAAAATATAATTTAAGATATTAAATTACCATAAATTGTGTCAATATTTTATATATGATAAAATATATATTTCTCTATCATTTAGAATTAATATTAAGTCCAAACAACGTTTATAAAAAAAAGTTATTAGTGAAAATGTAAAATTTTAAAAAGTTACTTTAGGTATGTTGAAATTTAAATTTTCATTTAAAATCAATTTTGTCCGAAACAATTTTGGACCTACTTAAGCACTTTATTAAAATACATATTTGGCTTAAATTTCAAAACTTAAACTTTATTAATTTTTAAATTATTTGAGAAAGAAATACTTCCCCGAGAACACAATATCCCCGGTCTCCCCTATTAAATATTTTGTCTGATGCAAATAAATGGTTTTTAATTTGGATATATATTCTAAACTTTTTGGGATTACGTATCACAATGTTGTTCATAGAGCTACTTCTATCTTTTTCGACTTCCATACTTGTAGAGGCGCCATGATGTTTGCTGCTATCTTCCTTTTCTTTTATGGTCTTACATTTATCTTTATAATCCAAAATAGATTCTAACATGGCCTCCAATACCTGAAAACACGGGTCTACTATATAGTTTATAAAGCCTTAAAAAATGAAAAATAAATAAAATTATTTTTGGTAAAAAATTGTAAAAGTTCAAAAAAATAATAATAAAATTTGTATTTTAAAATATAATGAAAATTATCTTATGCCTTAAAAATAAAACAATTATTCTTAATTGATCGGACATAATATTTTTTTAATTTCACTGCATAAAGATAGAGAAAAAAAAATACAATTTTACCTATTTGAGATTCAGGCACCAAAGTTGTGGTTTTATCGCACAGGGGTGAAAAGGGCAAGCCCATCTCTAATTCCTGGTCCCCCTAATGTCGTCAAAATTATTATAATAGCCTTTTTTACTCACGTCTTTTTTCAAACTCATGTGCCTTTTTGCAATCTCATGTGACCCTTTGCAAGTTTTTATTCATACCGTCATTTTTCGATATCATTCATATTGAAATATAACAATATGAGTAAAATGCAATATGAGTAAAGGAGAGTATGAGTAAAGGAAAATATAAATAGAGGACAATATAAGCAGAGGGTAATATGAGTAAAGGGCAATTTAAAAGCAATTAAGGAAAAATTTGAGTTAATTTAAGTTTAAAAAGGATATTAGGCAAAAAATCTAAATCAGTAAATAATATAAATTTAATATATTTATAGCATTTTAACGTTAATTAATATCTTTGAATTTAAGTATCATAATCATCATAAGGGTTGATAATTAATTAAGTTAAGAAGAATATTAAACTAATTATATTTAAAATTCTATAAATGCAAACATGCTTTATTTCAAATCAAATTAAAAAAACTTGTCTAAAAAATTCCTGCATCAAAGAATGTGTCCATTTCTGGTGGTGTTGCCACGGTTTACAAGGATGGCTAATATCGGCAGCGTGAAGAATTAATGATAATGCTTTGGATTTATCAATACTAAAATATTTTAAAATGATTTAATTTATAAATAAAATAAGTATATATTATATCATCAAAAAAATAATAAAAAATTATATAATAATATTTACTATTCTGGAAGTACCAACAGGTGCTTTATCGTTTTCACCTGCTGGAAATGAGAAGACATATCTGTTGCTAGCACCATATCAATAACTAAATCTCGAAATTCTCTAAAATAAAGAAGAACTATGAATAACTTTTAATTAGATTTACCTCATTAGATTGTAAAATATACGCTTATATAAATCAGCTGATTTTACATTCTTTTAGGTGTTGGAAGGAATATATGTAATTAATAAAACTCAATTTTTTTCTATGAACTTTCTCAATTTTGAATAAATATAATTTAAGTGTGCTTATCGCTTAAGGTAAAGATAACAGCAGCGGTCAGTATGGGCAAAAGTGTAGACTTAGCACGTTTAAGCTTGGAAAACATACCAAGTATAAATTTATATCTTATAAACATTTAGGCATAAAAAATTATTTTCCTTAATTTTAAAATTGAGGAAGATATTTTTGATATTTTTTTATTATTTATTTACTTAACTATGTGTTGTTGAAAATATCACAAAATTTAATTTAAAAACTTTCAAAACTTTATTGAAAATAAAGAAATAAGCCTTAGTTAATTTTAAAAAATACAAGAACAAAAAATATAAAATAAAAGCAAAACAATTATTTTTTAAATATAGAAAACTAAAAAATCGCATTTCAAAAACAAAAATTCAAATTAAAAAACAGAACCTAAACCAACTCTGTTTTCAACGTGTATGTGTTTTATTATAATAAACACTATTAGCAATTATCAATAATATTAATGATTTGATTAAATTTTTAATTAAGTTTTCAGTGTTAAAATAAATTTTTATGATAAAAAAAAATAAAGAATGTTTATTGGGTTTTTTAAAATATGAAGTGTAGTATATTATTTTAAACTAATTAGCGTGCTTAGCGTAGGAGTTGTTGAAGTATGTAGATAAAAAAAATGTAGTGTCTCTATCAAGATACGCTTTAGCAAAAGTATCTGTATCTTTATACTGTTTTAGAAGATCTATTTCTATTTTTAGATACTTTTAGATACATTTTAATAGAATTTTATTTTATATTAAAAATAGTATAGTTAAACGGCTCGATATGAGCCTATTTTAAACGGCATGCTCAATATTTCATCTAGAAAAATATTGCGAGGCTGAAGGTTTTGCCACACAAAGGTGTGGACATGTATAAACAAATCTCAAGGCTTAGGCAGTATTTTTCTGGCAAAAATAATGTGAGCATTTTTTAAAATCGGCTAGGGTCAAGCCTTTTAATAACACTAATTAAAAATAATTTTATCTGAATCAAATTCATTAAATATTATGTCGAAGTTATTTCATTACAAAAAACCAGACTAATTTTATTGTATGGATGACGGCACAATTTTGAGAATGTTTATATTTTAAAATCAAACAATTATTACTTATTGTGGTTATTTGCTTTTTTATAATCTTATTATTTATTTAAAAACTATTTCAATTTATAAAATTTTGACGATAAAAACATGACATAAACATTCTTATTTAAAAAACATATATGGTAAAAAAGATTATTTCAAAAAGGATGATTAATTAAATTTATAAAAAAGAGTCCAAAAAAAACACTGAAAGGTAGACACTAAATAACTATTTTTAAAAAAATGAAAAAAGATTTGGGGTCATCCAAGAGAGGAATGGATACTTCAGAAGTTGGGTATGCAGATTTCTAAGGAAATCCTTTTATCATAGGTAAAACTTAACGGTGGGCCATACAGTTATTATTTTTGAGACCGTTGATTAAATGGAAAGTCTCGTCCCCAAAGATTCAGCGTATTGGTAACTATGAGCATAGAAATAATATCGGAGTATTTGTTTGTATGAAGTTTCGGCGTGACCAGGGTAAAGTGTGAATTGTTTGATTTGATTTTAAATCAGCCTGGAACTACTACCCGGCTAGGGGAAGGCCGTTATACCAAGGTATTAAATAATACCATCCGGATTTTGTCATTAAGGAGACCTACTGGTTCAAGGGTGGATAATATTTTAGTTTTGAGTTGCTTATTGCTTTGTGGCGGGGTTGGCATCGATAAGAATATTTGCAGTGTAGTGGGTTAGTGGGTGGCGTCACTTATTATCTTTTAATTTACTAGAACCAACACATTTGGATGGTATTACTATGTTACATCCTAGATGGAAGGCAGTAGAGATTCTAGGTTACTCTGACGAGAGTACTAATGTGAGGTTGGAACTGGATATTGCCTCTGGACATTCATATCCTGTTTTCGCTTTAAAATGATTAAATTCGGCTTTACCTCAAGGTAGCCACTGGTAAAAGTACGGGAAACGGGTAGATTATTTCAGTATTTTTTGGCATAAGAGGTTGGTTTGAAATGAAATGGTGGGCAATTTTGCCCCAAGTCTGGTGAGCTAAGATTAGGTTAATGTCTGGGATGAGCAGTTGGAGATCGAGAAACTTGTTGGAAAGAACCACAATTGAGAGCAGTGCCAATTCCGTCGGATTTACACTACAAATTGGCTAGCCAAGCGGAAGTTGAAAATCTTAGGTTTAAAAGCGATTCCATTGGTCTTTAATTTTAGGTTCATGCAAGGCCAGAAGATACTGATATTTAAATATGGGTGATGATCTCATATAATATAGAGTTTTAGGTGTATTTATTTTTAATTTTTTAATGAGGGTAAGGTATTTAGTTAAAATAAAAGCCTGGTGAACAGTAAGGTTTTTGATAAGGGTATTTAAGTTGTTTAGGTTGTTGAGATAGTTAGTTAAAATAGTGTCAACGGCCCTTTTTCCAACTATAGAAGATGGGTAAGATCATTTATTGGTATAGACTGAAATGAGTGTGAGAATGGAAGGAGGATGAGAGGGTGGCCAAATCTCATATTTGGAGATTTTTAGTATATCTGTAGTAGGGTACAAAAGTCTTTAATTATTTTGGGAATAGATAGTAGTGTTGCTAAACGACTAAGTTGAGTTTACTTAGCCATCATAAACTGGAGTTAAGTTTTGGGAAAAATAAATTGACTAACTTGAACGAGGTGTACACTTATTCCTTAAAATCAAGTTATGAACTAGAGTCGTGAATTCAAGTTATAAGCAAAAAATGGTCGTGAACTCGAATTATGAACTATAAACTAGAGTCGTGAACTCAAGTTATGAATTCCAGATGTGAACTCGAATTAAACTCGAACTAAGAAGATGAATAGATCAATTATGTATTAAAATCAAAATTAATACTAGTATTAAAAATTAGATCCTCTTTTATCAATTGTTCAGTTTTTCATTTACAAATATTGTATATTTTTACTTTACACTACCACGTTAATGCTAAATACTACCAAGTCACACATAAATTTTCTAAATAATAACCTAATTTGCTAAACAACAACCAAAATTTATTAAAATGAAATAGACCCACTTATTTTTTAATATTTATCAATGGAACCACGTGATGAAGTCTAATCAACTGTATACAAGAATGGAACCACTATCTTGGCTTCAGAAAAAAATATGATACTTGCTAGATTCGAGCCCAGAATTATCGGATTGGCAAGCCACGCTCTTATCCCTTAGAGGTTTACAGAACGATTTTTGAAATATATATTATAGCCAAATATGACAATCTCGTTCCAAATAAAAAATAAATAAAATAGGGATTGGCTTAACATCGCCTTTTCTAACATTAACCACCAACTTGAGTTGTGAAACCATATGATGAACTAGAGAACAAGTTGTTCAATAATATCAAAATAATTATCTTGTATTAATAAAAACGAATCCTTTTTACCAATTGTTCTGTTCTTTATCTATAAAGCTAAACAAATACAGGTCCGTAAAGTTGCCCCACCATTTTCGATTTTTAATGGTTTATCTATTGGACGGATATGTACCTGCTTGTGTACCGTTTTCAATATGATTTGTAATAACCGTTTTCCAGATATTTGCAATTTAAATTTTTTAAATTAGTTTTTTAAATTAGTTTTTTAAATTTTAAAGCGTCCTTATGAAGAAAAGAAGGTTCTCTGTCACTTTCTATTAAAAAAAAATTTAAACCTATTTTAAAATTTTATATTTTTGGCACCATATTTTTAACGGTTGATATCTGGAAAACAATAATGGTACAAATAATCGAGTTTAAAAGGGTACAAATACAAATCTTGTTTTAAAAATTAAAAAAATGTGAAAATTACAAAAGGATGAGGCTAATTTTACCTATATTATAATATTAAAGCTTGATTTTTGCAAAAACTAATGAAGATAAAAATAATTTTACAGCATCATTAGGAAGGAAAAAAGGTTCTCTATAGGTTGCTATTAAAAATGATTTTATAAACCCTTTTTAAAGATCTTACTTTTTGTCGCCATATTTTTTAACGGTCAATATCAAGAAATTGGTAATGGTACAAATCGAACTGAAAACGTTATAAATCATTCTATATGGATCTATATAGTTTTTATTTGTAAATTCAAATATGGCGGGTTACCCTGAAGTTGGCCCCACCCTTTTATTCTATATCTCAAAATTGGTTATGGTAAAAATCTAACTGAAAACGAGACAAATCGGCACCTGGTAAATATTCGTCCAATAGGTAAACCATTAAACATCAAAAATGGTAGTTTAATTATTTTGTATAAGTATTATTTAAATTTAACAATTATTATTTATCATATATGTGCTTTATAAATAGATGAGATAATCATTATAATTTTTTTTTAGCTCACTTCAAAATTTTTAACAATAACTAAATTAATAATTATGCACACCTTACATAATTATAATAAAAATATATCTTGCAAAAAATGGTATAATTGTATCTTTATGTGCATTTAAATACAGAAATAGTTTAGATGATTATCTAGATTTATTTAAAAAATATCTTTAATAAATGCTTAGCTCACCTTAATTAACCTTTTTTTTAATTCCTTAATTAACTTAGGAAAAGGACTCTACTCTAGATTAAAATGCCATAAACTTTTATAAACCTGTATTCATCGTTGTTTAAAGCACTTAAGATACCTGTTTCTCCTTCCCTCATCATATTAAATGTGCGACTTAAGTGATGATTTTCTAGCACCGATCTGTCGTTATAGAGTAAAGCCATTTGAGAGCTAAGATAATTTTATAAAATGGAAATACACATTTACATAAAATTTTATAAAAGAATAAAATTATATTTAAAAAACATTCTAACCTTGTTTTAACGTGGAAATTGTTTGTAGTCCCTGTATGTTCATAATCATGGATCATAGCTGCAATAAAACAACCAAATTTTTCAATATCTGTCAATGTGTCCTATATTCAAAAAATTTATTTGTTCTCAAGTATCGCGATACTGTATAAAATATTTTTTAGGCATCGATAGGTATCGGCAATACTTTATAAACATAATGATTGCCTTCTAGAGATATATTTGTTAAAGTATCGGTATCAAAAATCGATATGTTTCTATATTTTAATTTAATTTAAATTGAAAATAATTGTTATTTCGATAAAAATTAAACAATTATTCTATTTTTACAAAATATACCCTTATTTCGATATTTTTTTATAAATTCAAATATGATAAAATGCTCAAGGATCTTTGGAATAAGCAGAACAAATCACCTTTTGATCGAGATAATTTATAAAAATACAGTGGATAGTTACCTTAACATATGGTTGTTTATAAATTTTGCTAAATTAAATGCAGACGCGATAAATTTAACTTTACATATCATTTTATGTCTATAATATATGTTTTAAGTGTAATTAATAAATAATTCTTATGCGAGGAATAGAAAAATTTTCTTAATTGTATAAGAAATATATCAATCTTTTATTGTATGGTATGGTATCATCAATACATTCATAAAAATATATTTCTACGGGTAACTGAAATATTTAAATTTTGTATTAAGACACTTTTAAATGAATCGTTAACAACTCTTATGGAGTTTTAAACTAATATATTAATATTAGCCTATCTTTTATTTATCTTTTATGAAATCATTAAATTTTTAAAAAGGATAACACTAATTAATTTTTAAAAAAAGTTATGGAAAATTATAATCAAGATGTACAATATTAAAAATTGTAAGAATACCCAAAAATAAGACGTATATGGGATCAAAAGAAATAACTGTTAATCATTTCATAGTAAATGCTAATAAATAAGATAATTTAGGGTTAGACATATCATGATTAGTCCTAAAACGAATTATTTATTATTCAATATTTAATTCAATTTGAATTTAATATTTTTCGTTAGTATTCGTAAGTAAAAATATAATGAATTATTTAACTTTTCTAATGGATATTTTCTATGGATTTTTTTCTTCCGAAGTATTATTTTCTGATTTCATATTAGAAAAAAATATTTTAAAAAATTGCACTAAAGTATATAAAGTCTTATTATATAAATTAAACGAATGAAATACCGCAAATTTTTTAAATTCTAATATTCTTATAAATATTTTTTCGGATAAGGTTATGAAATCATTGGGATTTGGTTTATTATTTTCTGTAAATTTTGATAGGCTGATGAGAATTAGCTTAGTTTTACTAGAATCCTTTAAAGGTTTCATTTTAAAACATCCACATCTATTTGTAATTTTTTTGCAAAATATAATATATTTTTATACACTTTAAAAAAAATTTCGAATCGAATCGAATAGAAGATTTTAATATTCGAACAAATACTAATAATGAACTATTCGTAAGAATAGGAATAACATTCTTATTCAATTCAAAAACTCGAATCGAATACGAAGAATAGTATTTTTCGATTCGATTCGTTTTTTGTAGGCCTAATCATGATGGATAAATGAAAATATATTAAGAATTAAATGGGTTCTATAAATTAATCAAAAAATAAATCAACCAAATTAAATATTAAATAATTTCTAAAACTTGCAGTTTGGTTCTGTGAATCAAATAAAATACAGTTTGGACTACATCCGCAGCGTGTACTACGTTATGATAAGAGTTGTCATAAAGTTTATAACCATTTGTAAGCTCGTTCATAAAATTTTCTAAATGTTTAATCGGTATCTAATTTTTAGGCTTAAAGAATAAAAAGGTCAATTCCATAGAGCTATGTACCTTATATTTATTGATGAGATCATATTTATTCAATACTTCGATGCCTATGTACCGTAGCGATTGCTCATCACTTACTTTATGAAGTTCAAATACATCAAAATCCCAATCGTTCATTTTCTAGACCAATATATCATGCACTAAATAAATAACTGATATATTATATGCTTTACCTTTAGTGCATCAACAATAGGAGTCGAAATGTGGAAATTAGCCAAGGAAGCTCTTCTATAAATTCTTTCCATATATCCAATTTAAATAACAAAATATAAATTACAATTTAATTAATGTTACAATAACCTCGAAGCGTATAATAAAAATATAATGTTGAATCCTTGGGTAAGGATTTTCAGATAATATTAAGGTATAACTTTTTAAATAATTGATACTAAAGTTTATAATGGACAATATTAAATTTTTTAAGCTATATAATGTAAAAGGAGATTAGAAATTAACCTATCGACGAATATTCCGGCCCTAATAACATTTGCAATGCTTTTAAATTTGTGCTTGCTTTCCTCATTCGATATTGAAAGCTTACGGGTGAAAGTTGAAGAAAGCCAATCTTGAACTTCTTCTGGGATAGATTGCATGTTTTTGGTATCTAGTTCATCGGTATCACAGTTAAGCATTCTATATATTTTAGAATCGTAATAGGCATATATTAATATACCCTGGATAACCCTGCCCAAAAAATGAAGTTTTTTCAAAGCGTTTATAAAAACGGCTAAAGGAATTTCTTTTTTATTTGGGTTTATAGTTGAAATATTTTTAGTTTTAATGTTAAAATATGGATTAAAATCTACCCAAAAACAATTTTTTTTAATCACTAAACTCATCTTTTCTGTGGTTAATAGCGGTGATAATCTAACAGATTTACAAATTTATGGTCATGCGGATTGAACAACAATTAGACCGTTGGCATGTTGAATAAAATATTTTCTTATAAACTTGGACATAGCAGCAGCAGCTTCTTTTTTTCAAGCTTCTGCAAATGTTAATATTTGCAAAAAAGGGTTAGGATTACACCTTCATTTCTTTGCACACTATTCATCATGACATGTCTACAAATATTTTGTGATTCATAGGTATCTGGTTGTTTTTTATAAGATACATGATCTGCCACTAGGCAAATTTTTGGAATATCTTTCTAGCTCATATATTTTATTCTGATAAAACATCTTGATAACCTTGCTGTAGTTAAAATATACAATATAAATTATCGGATTCTTTACTATGGGGAATAATATACCATAGTTCATAATTCACTTTTTCTACCTAACAAATAACCATTAAAGAAATATTAGATATGATCTGCATAAGATATATGCATTTCATTCAAACCACTTGCATCTTTTATTTTTATGCGTGTTCAAAAACACGGGAGGGGGGCACCTAGTGTAATGTTAAAATAGGATGATGATTTAAATTTAAAAAAGTTAATTATTAGTAAAATCATCTCTATTTTTACATCCTTTGTATAATGAGAAATAACTAAAGCCTTTTTAATTATGGTTAGAGGTTACAAAATGACGGATGCCTTTTTAATATGAGTAGCCGTTGTAAAATGTCTAAAGTCTTTTTATCAAATCTCGTCGTAAAATGAAGTCCTTTATTTACATCTATTTTGTAATGGATAATATAGATGTATTTAATAATAATGTTTAAATTTTCCGCATAATCTTAAAAAGATGAGTGAATTAGCTTGTTTCTTTAGGAAAAGGTTTATAAAAAAGTATAAACAAAATTTAATAGTAATTGTAATATTAAATATATCAAAAGTATATAACTTTTTTTCATATGTGTAAGCTTTTTCTAAAGCACAGATTGCGTTTTCCATTGACAAAATCAACGTTTCCCTTTTAAAGCTTTGTCCGGCCATCATCATCTTTAATAAATCTCTTAATCTAATTATATAGAAAATATTTTTAACTTAATTGTAATGTAAATTCAGACATAAAAATGATCGCGATAAAATTATGTTTATTACAATAGCTAACTTATAACCAAATCGAATGTTGCACTATTATAAGAATCATAGACGTATCCAGGATTTTTTCTAAAGGTTATAAAAAATCACTTTAGTATTATCTCTTGATGATATGAGGCAAGAAACTGTATCTAGCCATTATATTATATTAATTTTATTTTGATAATTAATAATATTGATATTAGAGAACTGCAATAATCATTTTTTTCAAGCCTAGCGTGCCCCCCCCCCCCGCTAGAATGAATTTCAATCATTTTAATAGGATAGTATAGTGGGTACGAATGACTTAATTTATAAATAAATTTTATATATAAGATTAAGGGTAAATGTGAATGTGAATGTGAGAAAAACTTAAATTTCAACTTAAATTAATTATATTCAAAATTTTTTATTGTAATTTTTCAATTAATTATTAAAATTTCGGTAATAATTAAATATTTAGGTAAGTATTAAATATTTAAGAAATAAATATTTAGGTAAGAATTAAATATTTAATAAATATTATTTAAGAAAAAAACATTTAAGAATTAAACACATTTAATTTTTTAATCAAATTTTCACATAAAAAATGTTTATAAACTATATAAAACTAATTGAAACACTGGACGCTTCCCAAAGAGTCTTTTTTAAAGTGTAAAAGTGCACTTAGTAAGTACTTTAACTATCGCTCAACTTAACACTTGAGAGTGAAAAATTATCTATTGCAATTGTTTTCAATTTCACCATAAACAAATTCAATTCTGATGTCACATTTTCTAAGATACAAAAACTCCTTTGAATACCTTTATACGCTATGCTATTAAATTATAACAGTGTCAATGTTACAGACAGAGACATCGAGGTTTATATTTTAAAATACAATAAAATATCTATAATCCTGATACCAATTTTTAGAAATTTTCTTATTTTGCTAATAACATTTTTATTTAAAATGTCACCAAGCGGTTGATAACTTAAAATGTATACTAAAATGTATATTAGTTAACTCACATATTGCTAAACTGTAGATTAGTGCTTTCAGAAATTTGAAAAACTTCATGGGGTCTGCATCTCAATATAAGATTCAGATTCATAAAATATTTTTGAAAATATCACTAGATTAAAAATATAAAGAGATTTTAACTATTTAAATTTTATATCCATTAAATAAACCGAAAAGAAAAATCTACAAATATCGTAGAATAGATACTTAAATAAATATTTTGAATAGGAGAAAAGAAACCTATATATATTTAGTGGTAATTTTTGTATCACAATTTAAAATGCGATATATATAACCAATTTATGTTTATTGACTGCAAAAACTTGAATTAGTAAGTAATAATCAGGCATTACATATTGGCTCATCCAGATATTCAGTGCTATAGTCAAATTTTTATTATTATGGTAATAATGGGTTTTTCTTCAAACTATCTATTAAAGGATTGAAATACTAAAATGTCCTAAATAAACTATTGATATAAATTTCAGAGTTAGTGTTACCAGAAATTTGGCCGCTTTCACACTTAATCATATTTCGCTTATAATTCGGTTACTTTTTAGTGGGTGGCAAAATTTACTGAAGTATTAATAAGTTACTAAAGATTTACGGGAATCAGATACATTCCAAAAACTTGCTCATTTCACTCTTAAAGTGTAACATGATAATTTTCACCTTGATTATAACTCGGTTTCTATTTTGTTTTTGTAAATCTGTTTAAGGGACTAATGTAGTTAGTCAGTAAATAATATCGCAAACAAGATATTTGGTTCTTTGATTTATATATATTTTTCTTTCTGGCATGATGCCAATTTTTCCCTATTTATATAATTAAGCAATAAACATGGATGAAATTTCAGCATATAATGTATTCAGTAGCTTTAATCGTAAGGTTGGCCAAAATATTGCTCATAATTATTTTTCCCTTTATACTGGTTTAAGTAATCATAGATAGACTTGTGCGCGGCTGCACCCCACCGCCGATATTATTTGCTAATTTTAAGAAACCTATTTAAAAATTATAGGCTATCGGTGCGCCGCGGCTGACTCTTAAATTGGTGGTAACGCTGTGTAGATATTTTATTTTCGTCATTACTATATTTATAAATTATGATTAATTAAAAATTATAATATATAAATTAATTTATATATCATAAAATTATAAAATATATTATTATAAATTTTTACATTATAAACATAAACATAAAATTCAAAATTTATTGAATTACTATTTTAATAATTCAATATTTCGTTTCATAATTTTAAAAAAAGGAATTTTACTTTATAAAAAATGTTTCAGTAATATTTAAGGTATTTTCAGCAAACGAGTTAAAATATTTTTAATGTTCTATTCTTTCTTTATGGATACCTTAAATCTAATCAATTTAATATATAAGAACATTTTAATGGCCTGGACACTGGATCAAATGTCAGAGAAAGTCTCAGGATAGGTAAATCTGAACTTCCCCTATGCTTGGCGCTTGGATTACATAATCTTATCACAGCGGATGGAATGAAGAACGAAGTAGAATAGTAAATATTGTTAAGGAATTAGAGAAATTATTATTGCGTTATAATTTAAACTTCCGATTTATAAGAAATAATTGATTCTGAAAATAAAAAATGGAGAAGAAATATACACCACTTCAGATATGTGATATTTGGATAATGAAAATACATATTTTTAAGAACTTAAATTTAATCTTAGCAATTTTCATATTTCTCCCACAATTTTTATATTACTCCCACAAAATACCGAATTTCTCCCACAATTTGAAAATTACCTGGCAACCCTGCTTATAGGCAACATAATGTCGGCTGGAATATTAATTTAATAGTTTTTTAAAAAATCAGCTAAGGTTTTTGACATTACTACCTTTTGGGTAATTTTTGAGTCAAATAAGCGAAAGACTTTTTCACCAATAAATCATTATAATCTAAGAGTATTTTGCTAGTATTTTAAAATTATTGTATTTTGACAACTATATCTATTAGCACTTGCACAAATGAAAGATTTTTCTCTTTAAGAAGAATCAAAACTTGATATTTAATACGATTTAGCCGATTTGAAAAAAGTCGAAATCAAGAAGCCAAACAAATATTACCAAAACCTAAAGATTTTGCCAAAAAGGGCCAAACATTTCTGTATATTTTGGTGCAATCTCGAGGGCTATGTCTTTTAAAAATCACCAAATCGAGATTTTTAACATTACCAAATACTGATAAAAGCATTTAAAAATTAAGGAAATTGCATATATTTTTAGTAATAACTTGGCGGTTTTATATGCAATATTTTCTAATTATTTCAAATTAAAATAAATAGTTCCGTAATATGATATAAAATTTAATATATCCTTAATAATATGATGTATATTTTTAGGCAGGGGGAGGGTTTAACACTCTAACTTCAAAATAGAGCGCACATTATGAAAGTGTGACCGGGAATTAAAAATCACGTTAAATTATCTTTATAGTTTTTTATAAAATATTAGTTTATATGATGGCGTTGAGTGGCCATATATATTTTGTGGCCTTTTCATACCTCATATAGATTTTTTAGCACAATTTAGGAAGCAATTAATGGTCCATAAAACCTAGAAACTTTGACTAAAATGATCGAGTAATACCTCTACTGCAGTAGTGTTGTTAATTAGTGGAGTTCTACAGTCCCCAACTAAAAGTCATAGTCGAATAATCCGAATAAAACTCGAGCAACCATATTTGGCGATTAGCTGACTAGATCAAATTGTCACTAACGTTAATATTTTTATTTTTAGTAGAATATTTTTATTTTTATAATACAACGGATTCTGTAAATAAAATATTTTAAACCTATAGTTTTTGGGAATAAAAGATTAAATCTTATAATTTTTTTGTCTTTTTAATTATTATTTTTTTTAAATTAAAGAGCAAATTATTTTTTGCCTATAAAAAAATTTGTTTATAATAAATTATGCTTTCTATATACTATGGTAAGGATAATATTTGATAGAAACACTAGTATACTATAAATTTAAAAAAAATTTGGGTCGGGCCGGGTTGGGCTTAAATTTTTAAATATGATATCATACATTTTGTCAAATAAATTAATATATTTTAAAGTTCAAAGCGCTAATATTTTTTAATTGTAGAATATTTTTTTACAATAAAAAAATTTGAAATTTTCTAAATTTAAATAAATTCAGGTCGAGCCTGGCGTATAAATAATTTTTATTGTTAGTTCGGGTAGCGCTTTTCGGTACAAATAATAAAAATTTGTTTGGGATCGGGCCGGGCGGGACAAATTTTTTTAAAAAATATTGGGTCGGGCTAGACTTGAAAAATAAGGCCCGGATCACTCCAATGAATACCTTAAAAAAGTTTAAAAATAATTTGTGAGTGTTGTGAATGTTAGAATTAATTTGCATAAAGATTTCTTTTGGATTTTGTTGTACTTTATATGTAATTTGCATAAAGAATTCTTGTGGATTTATTGTTATAACGCGTGATAAAAAAAGATTATATTTGAATAGTTATGATTAGTTATAAGAAGATTGAAAAGAGTATAAAAAGGCAAATTTTTACGATACAAAGAATCTTTGTTTTTTTTAAATTATTAACCTTTTTAATTATATTTTATTTTATTTTATTTTATTTTATTTTATTTTATTTTTTTATGATTTTTACTATTATAATTTTGAATAAAGAATTAAAGTTGATTTTATGATTTCGTGATTCCTAATTATTATTAATTTCCTTTTTATATATATATTTGTTTTCTATTTTTATATTTAGGTTTTGATGCACAATGACAAACTTGTCGTTGTGACAATGATGTTGGAGAGCGGAGGAGACCGACCCTTTACAACTTTCAGTCTAATGCAAATCACGCATTGTGACCGGTGGGACAACAAGGAGATGTGTCAAACTGTATTCTAATACAAAAAAAAAATTCCAGA